GTATGACTTATGCAAATAAAGTAATTATGTAAAACGGAGAGAGTAATAGAACAAATTCATGTAATTGAGTTGCGCAAGCGCGCGAATGGCGCGGCTCACTTTCGCGTATAGCTCTGGGGTAGCTCAGTAAATGAGTTTTATTGCAATTCGCCCCCTAGGCCCCCTCAGGGTCCCCCTAGGCCCCCCTCAGGGCATAATTCGGCCCCCTCTGGGCTTCTCAAAGCCAATGCAGCCTCCAGTCTTTCCCTGGGAGCCCAAAAAGGCAGACCCTCCGCGGACAACCTCGTACGCACACGAGGCAGAGCCCACAACAGACGACTACAACACGCTATACTCCGCGATTAGGAATATAGATGTTAGAGAGATTACAGTTATAGCACGCAAACTGCGCGCGCCGAAGTCCCCCCAAGAGCGTCTCCTCGCTCTTGCCGAACATAACGATCTTCTACTAGCGTTGTAAGTTAAGTTAACGTAATTAACTTAACTCCAATGCCTGAGCAAACTAACCTACCTAGATCTCACGGTCGTATCAAACCTAAGGGTTTATCGCTTGTATCATTTAATATTCGCGGCTTGCGAAATAACCTCCCAGAGCTCAAGCTCTTTCTTCGGAATCGTGAAGTCGATTTCCTCCTCCTACAGGAAACTAATCTCAAAGATAAGGACACTAGAGGCCCTTCTATTAAAAATCTCTCTTCTTCGTAACGACAGACCCGACCGCCGAGGCGGCGGAACGGCCATCTATTACAAGAAGACACTTCATTGCTCGCCCATTTCTACTCCGCAGCTTACCAACATGGAAGCCACGGTATGCAGGCTAGCTATGACTGGACATCAGTCCATCCTCATAGCCTCCTGTTACATCCCTTCAGGAACCTATCCCCTTAAAAGGATTTTGAGGCAATTTTATCTTTAGGCAATTCAGTCATTATGTTTGGAGATTTTAACTCCAAGCATACTGAATGGACATGCCGCACTACGTCCCCTAGTGGCAAGATACTGCTCGATATCACGCAGTCTCTTGATATTACCGTCCATAGTCCTCTCGGTGTTACTCACTTTCCCGATAACACCGATCACGCCCCCGATGTGTTAGATTTTGCGTTACTCCAAGGAGTTTCTCTCAACCTCGGAGCAATCGAGACACTAGACGATCTAGGATCAGATCACCGACCGGTCTCTCTCATTCTTGGCCATCAGCCACCTCCCCCAACACACACGAAAACCTTCACTAACTGGAAGGGATTCAAGGAGTCCCTAGCTAAAGCTTTGGACTCACAGGACTCTACCATCTCCCTACCGTCGGACTTAGATAGTCCCGAAAAAAACGACACCGCGGTCGACTCACTCTCCACCCTTATTAAATCCTCCCTTAAGGAGAACGAAAGGGTCGTCCCGGTTGCTAACAATAGTGGGCTTCCCCTACATATTAGCAACCTAATAAAAGCCAAAAAAGCTGCTTTCCGGAGAGCAGCAAAATATCCCACCCCCGAATATAGGCGCGCGGCCAATCGTCTTCAACGAGAACTCCGCTTCCGCCTCTCTGTATTTCGAGACCTCGAAAAGAGTAAGCTCATGGAGAATATCTCTCCATCTCACACAGCGTACTATCAGATGGCTAGAGCCCTCCGCATAGACGCTATCACCCACACTCCCCCTCTCTCCCGTCCCGACGGCACGGTTGCCTTCGAGGACGAGGAAAAGGCTGAGTGCTTTGCGGATAGCATTGCCGCTCAATGCTCCCCCTAGTTCTCAACCTGTCGACCCCTCACACGTCCAGGCAGTGGAGGATGAGGTCCGCCGCCGGAACTCACCCCCCACGGCCTCCGAACCTATCTCTGTGTCCAATGATGAGATTTCATCTCTCATCAAAGGACTTAAGCCCAAAAGGCTCCGGGCGCGGATGGCATCTCCAACCAAGCCCTTAAACACTTTCCCGAGCAGGTGTTAACCTTTTTATCTATTATCTTCAACGCCTGCTTCAACCTTAGTTATTTTCCCACTACGTGGAAAGAGGCAACTGTGATTGGAATTCCCAAGCCAGGTAAGCCTCTCAACCTCCCCCTCCAGCCATCGCCCCATTAGCCTCCTCAAGGCAATGGGCAAGCTCTTCGAAAGAGTCATTCAAACGCGTATGAGGCGCTTTCTGTTTCCCACAGACGGCGACCCTCTCATCATCCCCCACCAATTCGGCTTCCGAGCCAAACACTCATGTCCCCAACAAGTTCACCGCATTGTGGAATATATCCTCAGCGGTTTCTACCCTCGACGTCATAAAACCATCGCGGTCTTCTTCGATATAGCCAAAGCTTTCGATAGAGTCTGGCACACAGGCCTCATCTACAAGCTCTATAAAATAGGTCTCCCCGATCGTCTAGTTCGTCTCGTGGCCTCCTATTTAAAACATCGTACCTTTCGTTTTAGACACGAAGGCACGCTTTCTTCACAGCGAACTATCAAGGCTGGTGTCCCTCAGGGCTCAGTACTTGCTCCTCTGCTGTACATCCTGTTCACCAACGACATTCCCATCCCGTCGAAAGGTGTTCAACTCTCCCTCTTTGCAGACGACACTGCCATCTACTGCAAAGGTGTCTCACTACCCTTCATACGGAACAAGATCCAAAAGTCAGTTGATGACCTAGGAGCTTGGTTCAAAAAATGGCGCATCGATGTGAACCCGGAGAAGAGCTCCGCCGTTCACTTCGATTATAAACGACGCCGTCTCAAAAACACTCCTCCAATACGTATGCTAGGGACCCCTGTCCCCTGGCATACGTCCGCCAAATATTTAGGTGTCACTCTAGACACAGGGCTTACTTTCAAGCCCCACGTCAAAAGAGTAACCCGTCATGCACGATTTTATCTGAGTAGGCTCAACAGTATGTTGGGCCGACACAGTAAAATGTCCCTTCGAAACAAGCGTACCCTCTACAAGGTATGTATACGACCAGTCATGTCCTACGCGGGCCCCGTCTTTGCCCACGCAAACCCTAACATTTTAAATGAACTCCAAATAGTTCAGAACCTATTCTGTCGTCGAGCTGCGAACGCACCGTGGTACGTTCGTAATGCCGACCTTCATCGGGACTTAGAGCTCCCAACAATTCAACAATTTCTTAAAAAACTCTCTGAGAACTTCTTCAAAGCCTCAGAGTCGCACCCAAACCATTTAATTCGTGAGGCAGCTTCTTATGCAGCCCCACCCCCCCTCTCGCTATCGTGTCCGCAGGCCGAGAAACTCTCTCTCGGACCCGCCTAATAAACTTTCAAACGACCTGAACTGTCTCCTGGCGGCTCAGGCCAACTCTAATTAAATAAAATTATTGTAATATCTGACATTAATTTGCCTTCGTAGGCACTCCCTCAGCGGCACTTAGCCGCCTGCGCCCTCTTTTCCCAAAAGAGGGTCGCTCATGATAAGGCACAATAGAGCTTAATCAGCCGGTTGCCTGTCCCCAAAGGCGGTTTTTAGGGGGTATCACTTAGGGTCCCCGGTAGGACAGTGAGTCCCCCATAACCACGATAGACCGGCTATCGTGGTATGCGTAATGCATTTTCCGCCTCCCTACGTACAGGGTAGCCCTTTAATTGCTTCGGGCGCAAAAAAAAAAAAATTGCAATTCGTTCGGGAATCCTTCGGGAATAGTTCGGGAATCCTTCGGGGAAGTTCGGGAATCCTTCGGGATAGTTCGGGAATCCTTCGGGGAAGTTCGGGAATCCTTCGGGGAAGTTCAGGAAAGTTCGGAAAAAGTGCAAGACCAGCAGTCAATAAGAAGAAGAAAGAAAAAGTGTAGGGAAGTGATAGGGAAAAGTAATTACTCTCTCACGGAACGGTTTGAAGATAATTGCTGTTTTATTCCCAAGAAATTTATCCCTCAAAATTATACAGTTCACATCGAAGAATTAAGGCGTTGGGACCGGGACGACTTCGGAAGACCCGTAATCCCCGTCTGAACCTATTTGCTGAAAAGGAAGAGGTTATCATCCTTGTGTGTTACTCCGTTGCGGAGATACGTTGTTCCCGAACCCAATGTAGGCGTTATAGGAGGCCGGATCGAGAGAAGCCGCGATTCCTCCCTTCTGTTTCTTAATCCCCTCGTTGGTTCCTTTTCATTACTGATTTTCCTTTGCATAAATTCAAAGAGCATGTAAAAAGCATTCTTATGAAGAACTACTCAAAAGATAAAAATGAGTGGACATAATGAGCTTCCTTAGACTTAATTAAGTATTCTATATTTTATTTAGACTTATTTATAAAGTTAAATTGTAACTGTTTGATTTTATTTCATCATGTATCCATTGCGGAATTCATCGCCTTCACATACTCCCCTAAATGCACATTGCTGAATGATGATAATTTTTATCTTTAATACAATTACACAATGGTAATTGGTTTTACGGTTTACTTATTAAAATATAGTTTTTTTTTTCGTGCTAAATTTAGCAAAAGAAACGCTTATGAAATTATTTCGGTATATATAGGTCAGTGGTCACAGAGGTTTTCTCAACTAACAGTTTCTTGAAATAATTTTCTCTTTCGCTCAAGTATTTTAAATATCGTCTGTCAGTTTCTCTGCCCGTCACAGTGGGTTTGAATTATAAATTGAACTTAGATTATTGTGTTTTTTTTCCACTCTTGTAGTAAAATATGCGTTAGTTATCCAGATTAAATACTAAACAGGTTACTTATTTTTCTAAATCGAGGTTCTCATAGACTGACATTATCGGTCAGAGGATCCACTGACTTGAACTTGATATTTTGCTTGTTTACCACATATACATTTAATTAAAAAATACTTGAAATAACAATACATTCAGTACACTTCCGTAAACTCATGACAAACGTTAAATTCCAAACAATGTGTAATAATTCTCACGAACTCTACAACAACCTATACAAATCTTGTAAGAATGCCAAAGACAAACGTAGAATGTAAATTGTTAACAGAAACGCGTTTTCCGTTTAAAGCGAGGCTGATCTAGGCAAAGTCAATAATTACCTTTGAGGTTGTCGAGATAGGAGATCTTTCTGTCGCCGTCCATGGGCACCGTCACAGCCATTACCTCTGGTGTACATTGAATGCGCGAATCAGAACCTGTGGACAATTATTCACCTTATATAATAAATTCTAAAATTTAATATTAATAAAACAGTCAAAACTAGGTATTAACAGAAAGCATATCCATATTGGTGAGAGAAGCAGGAAGACTACGCAGCAGAATATGATCAGTGTTTTGTGGCATCCTTGGGGGGAGGCCTTTGTTCCGCAGTGGATTTGTGAAGGGCTGTAATGATGATGATGATTTTAATGGTATACTTTGTGCCTTTACTTTCTCAGTCTACTAATGGGTCATTGATAGATACTGGCTTTTCCTAAGAATTGGTTGTCATCGCCAACGTAAGATTGGTTAAGAATTTTTTTATATCTTTTTTTTTTATAGCTTGTACTCAATTTTTTAACTTCATCTTATAATTTGTCAAGAAGCATGCATCTTGACAAAGTTTATACAAGGCGCATACATTAAATTTTTAATCGAATAACGGTTTAGTTATGTGTGAAAACGCTATGGTAATGTATGAAGGTCCGCATGTTATCAGCCCAAAAGTTGCTCGATAAAAGAAATAAAAAACACCATTGATTACTTTTTGAATAATTATTCGAACAACTATCAATGGATAGCTCTATGTATATTAATTTTCTTTTGTATTGGGTGGCGCATACTCTCGACTAAACAGTCGGTCCGTGACTATTTAGTTGTGCAATGGCACAATTAAAACGTGTCCATCCTGTTCACCAACGACATTCCCATACCGTCGAAAGGTGTTCAGCTCTCCCTCTTCGTAGACGACACTGCTCTCTACTGTAAAGGTATCTCGCTACTTTTCATACGGAACAATGTTCAAAAGTCAGTTGACGACCTAGGAGCTTGATTCAAGAAATGGCGCATCGATGTGAACCCGGAGAAGAGCTCCGCCGTTCACTTCGATTATAAACGACGCCGTCTCAAAAACATTCCACCAATACGTATGCTAGGGACCCCTGTCCCCTGACATACGTCTGCCAAATATTTAGGTGTCACTCTAGACACAAGGCTCACTTTCAAGCCCCACGTCAAAAGAGTAACCCGTCACGCACGTTTTTACCTGAGTAGGCTCAACAGTATGTTGGGCCGATACAATAAATGTCCCTCAGAAACAAGCGTACCCTTTATAAGGTCTGTATACGATAAGTCATGTCCTATGCGGGCCCCATTTTTGACCACGCTGACCCTACAAATATTAATGAACTCCAAATAGTTCAAAACCTTTTCTGTCGTCGAGCTGCGAACGCACCTTGGTACGTCCGTAATGCCGACCTTCATCGGGACTTAGAGCTCCCTACAATTCAAGAACAATATATATATTGTATCTGGTATCTTATTACCTTATATATATATATATATATATATATATATATATATATATATATATATATATATAATAAGATACCAGAAATAGATACCAACCCAAAAGTCCTTATGGGGCCGTGCCACATCTATTCCTCAATTCGTGTTTTTCTTTCAGTGATTTCTGAGAAGGTTTTAGGGCAAGGAATCCGCTGCGCTGCTCCTTGTCTTCGATTTAATATGTTTGATGGTGAAAAACCACATCTTGTTATTATTGATGATCTAGTGAGAGAGTCCGATGTAACTTTAAACTCGAACAGTTTTTTGTATTAGATTAAATAGAAGATTTATAAAGAAATAAAAAATAATATATTGCATACAAATTGTTTTATTTAATTTTATAACGTTTCACATAGTTACATACACACAAAATGCATTACACATAACACATAAAATCTAACACACAACACATATTATAACCTTAACTACTACAGCCTACAGTAACATTTCTGTTTTTATCTATCTCAATAATATTATCAAACTCAAATCGTACTTCTAATCTTACACTATCATGCTTTATGAGATTCCAATGAGCTGATGAGTTGGCTGATAAATCAGGAGTTAAGTCAAATGCTAATAGACAGTAACCTTTGGCATACTGTTCACAAGAGATTCCATTTCCTTCATTAAGAAAGTGAATACCAGTTCCCGAGAATAGAGCTGATGTAAATATACTATTATTAAAAAATGGTTGCAAAGCTTTTGAAGGTATTTGTTGACCATCAATATATAAACTGAAAGAATTAATACCATAGTTTTCAAAGTTAAATGGATTTTTAGTAAGGGAACCATTAAATGCAGAATTGGTCACAAATCCAATTATACGTCTTTTGGGTACCTGTCCTAAAAATATATTATCAAGAGTTTTTCCTTGAACACCCGATGGAATTGTTAAAACTTTTACTTCAGCTCGAGTAATAGGATATTTAGCAGTGGTAGAAGCTAAAACTTTTTGATGTGCGAGTAATAACACTTGGATTAATTCGTCCTCGTCGAACAATAAGAGTTGCGTCCGTAATGCAAACTTTAAACTTTATATCGTTTGACCCAGCAATTAAATTAAAAATCTCTCTTGATCGAACCAATTTAACAATCATTTCAACACCATTAATTAAAAATTTATATTTTTCACTAATCAATTCCTGTCTTTTAACAAATCCTCCGTTTTTACCATCTGTAGAATCCATTTTTCCTGCTGTATCTTCATACCAAAGATCACAAGTAAGATGAGATTGTTTAGCAGCGGGAGCATAGTTTAAAAGGGTTTCCATGTATTCTCGATATGCAACTATGTGAATAATGGGAACTATGTGCAACGTTATAAAATGAAATAAAACAAATTGTATGCAATATATTATTTTTTTTATTTCTTTATAAATCTTCTATTTAATCTAATACAAAACACTGTTCGAGTTTAAAGTTAAATCGGAGTCTCTCATTAGATAATCAATAATAACAAGATGTGGGTTTTCACCATCAAACATATTAAGATTTGGAATTCATTGATGATAGTTAACATTTGGTAAATTATATAAAGGTTGCATTTCATCAAAGCATCATGTGATCTGATTAAAATCACAATTACATATTTCTGTAACTGATTTTATGAAATTTGTTACAAAATTTGACTTCCCACATCCACTTGGTCCTGCCACAATAGCAGTAAACGGACGTATAAAGTGAAACATTACGCACGTCTAAAATTCTAAGGGGTGAAATAAAAAATGAAAGTATTGGTGTAGGTAAACAATTTATATACATACAATATATATATATATATATATATATATATATATATATATATATATATATATATATATATATATATATTGTTTCAAACAATAACCACTTGTAAAAAACCCACACTTCATCACAAGAACAATGTAAAATTTTGTGATTATTTTTTGCAAATATATGATTATTATACTTCACTCACGTTCACATCATCAGGAACCAAACAGTTTAATCGACATGAAATCGTCACAAGCTCACAAATCGACTAAACAGTGTGATCGATTTCACAATTGATTTCACAATTTTATGTATGCGGTAGGAAAGAATGAATGAATGAGGAAAGAGTGACAAAGAAAATTTATGTTGCAGAAGTGAACTGCAGAGTCGGAAAGGGACGTCCTAAACAAAAGTTTATCCACCAAATTGGCTATATATTGTAAACGGGCCAAATTAGGAGTACCCTTAACCGACGAGCATGTATCGATATCGTCAATACACCTATAAACGTTTATGGCAAAGTTTTCCAATAACGAAGGACTTTTGCACAGCAGGTGACTTTTATGGACTGTTTAAGAAGAAGAAGAAGAAAAAAGAAGTTGCTAAGAATACTTTGCTAAAATTCATGACATTAACTAGCTCTACTGTTTGAGTGCGATTGTTTTCTTTAAAAATCTCGACGAATCTGTATAAACGAAAACTAATTTAAAGAAATTCGGCTTACGGATTTGCAAACCTGCTTAGCCAGTTCTATCTGGCGACCTCTGCAGCACCGCCGTGTTGAATTACATCATTTAAACCATTATGTAGTCATGACACATAATTTTAATTTCAAGGTTAGTTTTCAATTTGGTAACGTCGAGAAATGTTAATATATTGGTAAAGGAAAATATTTCTATTGTTGGATTTAGGTTTATAAAGGAGATTTTACAATATTGAATTTATTAAATTAATTTTATGTTCCTTAATTTAAGATTATTTTTAACTGCCGACCTTTCGGAAGCTTTATAGCACACATGGTCGCAGGAGACGTCCTGATGTCAGGCATTATAAACAATGTGAGAAAATTCGTAAAATTAATTTTGTTCAATGTGTAGTAAAACTAAAAATAAAAATACTATTCGTGGAATAAAACTATTCGCGTTTATATAAAAAGATATTAGATTTGGCTATATTGATAATGCTGTAGCGACTGCTGTTCCTGTCATTTTAATAATAAACGCCTAAAAGGCCCGGATTTCAGTGCTTCGTTGTAATATTTTCTGTGAAATTCAAATTTTTGAATTATTCTGAAATTGTAATCATGATTAAAACATTGACCATTTTACTACACAATTGCGGCAAAGTCAAAAGAAGGGTTTTAGTAAGTAATGTTTATATAATAATATGTTCTACCGTTCCCTTAGATCTTTTAAATTTATCGTCGTATTTTGTTAAATGGGGTTCGTTGTAAGCGTCGTACTAATCTTCCGCGGGTGATACGCTATAAGACGACACTAAAGATCTATTCTGGTATCTTACTGAGAATATAAAGTTAATTAAATCGTGTTTGGTATCAAATGAAAGGTCCTTAACGAGTACATTCCGAAAATATATAGATTTTCAATAACAACCTGAATCGCAAAATGTCAAATAAACGTGACATCCTATCAAATACAAATTACTAAATTAAAATAAAACCGAAAATTTAAAACTGAGGAAATATTTTAAAATTCCCTTGAAAAAATATTATGCTGTGAGGCTGTTTAACATCATATCAAATTCAATTCATAATAATTTTAATAATAACCGTGAAAAATGCATCTCCTTTCATCGACGAGTATAGGACTATGACACCACTAACGAAAGTGGGATTTTGATATAGGTAAATTCATGTCTTTATCTTGAATTTGATTGTTCAAAAACACGATTGTATAAT